ACAATCATGGAACAGCTAAAAATCAGCTAATTATCATGCAAATTAGGTAATTAATATGCACGGATTTTTACCAAAACCTAATCAAATCTGCGCATTGGCCCAGAGCATCTATGCACCAAGTTTCATCAAAAACCGATGTATGGTTCTTGAGATAGCAGTGGAACAGTCGGACACACATACATACACACATACACTAACTGCAAAGACTCCCATTATGTGCTTCGCACATGGGAGTCAAAAATAGTCCCATTTATAGTCAGCACTTTCCATCAAAACTGGGACAAAAATAACCAAATTGTTACGAGTAAAAACCAAAAATTGACTCAAATTTTGTCTGTTGGCTCAAAAATTAGGGTTTATTTCCACAAATATTGAAAAATATAAGAAAAAAAATGCAGAAATGTATTAATAGTTATTAACAAGAAAAGACCATAACATCACTATTTTGAACAGCGACCAATCAAATCACCAATACTCATCATTAATATTCAGTGGTCTTTATCACAGGGAATAGGCATGATACAACAAGACCACATGATCAACTAACCTATCACAAGATATACACTTAGTTGCATGCAATAAAATATTATTAGGGTTTGTGTGCATTTCTATTACTGTAGAATACTTCGCTTGGAATTTATTTTTTCGCTTATTTCGCTGTAGGGATGATTCCGTGAAAATAAACTCCCAAAAAGCCTTTTCAGCCAAAACTAATTCCAGCAAAAATAAAGTATTTCACAGTATATTATATATAGTATAACAAATATGGTACATATTTCCAAACATTTCCTGCATTCCTAGAAGCTATTGAAGAGATGACATTCATACTTCCTTAACCTTGTCACCACGAGTTCCCTCTTTACTTTTCATCACAAATTCACAAAATAGTCCTCTTTATAGCCTTCACTTTCTATCAGAAGATTGGGGTAACAACATTTTTAGTAAAAACTGACTCAAATTTTATCCAAAATTTGGGCCTATTTACAGAAATATTGAAGAATATCAGGAAAAAAGTGCAGAAAAATTTGCTTGTGAAAGTCTGGTGGTGAAAAGGTTAATAAAGTTGACATTTTAACCTTGCATACACACACATCACGTAAAGCCAATGTGACATGGTTTTAATAACCTTGCTAACATTTTAACTAAATTTTAAATGCCAACGCAACACAATTAACATTTTATGTGAAATATATCATAAAGGCCACAAAAGAAATGGTTATAAATACCTGTAATCTATTACACGGAAAAGCAGTACAGGGTGAGTACTGATAATCAACTTATCAATGTACAAATATACGGAAATTAATTGAAAAATTAATATTTCTTTTCGATTTTCACTCTGCTTCATGATGAATTCTTATTCATAGCAAATAATTGAACACTCAATGAAAATGAGTCAACTCAAGTCAATCTTAAGAGCATTTTTAATTTTGAGAATGTAAATATAATAGATGAGAAAATGCACATCTTTTAGTATTAGTGTATAGACACCATGTTGACCTAGCAAAAGTGCAAATAAACCAAAAATTGTATGTTGGATCGATCAAATAAAACTTATTTAGCCATAGACACATCTATCATCCAGGTAAGTGTATGCACTACTAACAAACATACAAAGCAAATACAATCTACATATAGCAGAAACTGGAAAATCCCAATGTGTCACTTCTCCTTCGCAAAAAATATCAACATTGAAAATTTCCTCCAAATACAGTAAGACAAAAATAATGAACCAGAAAAATACATAATAATTGTAAGTGATCTAAAAAGGGGTATATACAATTGAAATGGAGAAGGGCACTGTGGAGGGGCAGGCTTAGAATTAGAGTTATGGGTGTGACAAGTATTATGTCTTACAGTGCTAGTGTATCTGCGTACTATATATATGCGTGTTCTGTTTATAGTAAAATATTAAACATATGGCAGAACACATGACACACTTGTAATAGGTATAGTACCAAGACAAAATTAATGGAATACTGAAATTTGTATGTTTTGCTATATTTAGATCAGCTCAATTGGCTGGGACACGCAGGTGTACATATACTAATAATTAATTAAGTAATAAAATATAGTTCCCGATCACTTGTTGGTAGCTACTTGCGGCATACATAAACAGAAGTGATGAACAGAAATATCTCCAATGACAACGCCTGTGAACAGGAATAATTGCCAACGGCGTCTGCGAATAGGAATAATTCCACAATCGAAATCATGAAAACATGCATACCAGGACTTGAATACTCATAATTAGTTTTCTTGCTTTACCTTTTTGAAGCCTATGTCTAAGTTGGTCTACATCTCTCTTCAAGTCCAGGTTCATCCAGACAAGTCCGCTACATACCGCTATACACGCTACAACCAGTATGAATGCACAGATGGGAAAGCATGTCGCACATATTCGCGTCCTAGACGGCCTGGATATACATAAATATATTGGTAAAACACCACAGAAATCAAGGAAATTGTTTTGAAGAAATATTCACTGGGCTGTTCACACGATTCTGTCCGCAGCATACTTACACCATGTTTTGGCTCACTCAACATTTTTACAAAACAATTGCGACTAAACAGAAGAGATGAATTTTGAAAAGCTATTCACACTGAACAGTTTACATCAAACAAGTGACGAAACACAGATGGAAAAAAAGTTTTAATTCTCAGGACACACCGTCCTATAAAGATAATTTCACAAGAATGAGGAAAGTACAAATTTATTGAGCCGAAATTCTAGCAGTACTGTTATAACAAGATATTTCCGCCAAAGCAATTATTAAGCCCATTGGCTATTGATTAATTGAGGCAACCTGTATTCTTCTATCAGAGAACACGAAACCCTATTTCTCGAAGCCATTTCCAATTTTTGTTAAGGAGGATAATCATGATTCAAAAATTAATAGCAGCAAGATAAAAAAAAATGTAAAAATATACGTTATTAACATCTATCACTAATTGTTTGTTTTTATTATAGCACTGATACTTATAGGATTGTTAAATTTTAGCACTATATTAGGCAAAATAGGGAGCAGTGACTGAGTTGTATGTAAAGGTGGAACACTGGTATTTTAAATCTATTTTGCATACATCCCTATTCATTGAAAATTGCAGCAACTTGCAATTATGGCCAGCAAGATTTGAATACCGCAACCTAAGAAAGATAGACAGCGTTTCATTTGAGAATAAAATTAAGAATTATGGGCCCAAATACATATTTAATACATTATTGTCTATAAAGAAACTGATTATACAATTCTTGCTAATAATTATATTCTATTATTGTATTTTTTCAGTTTTCGATGGAAAACCACTAATTATTATACTGAGACAGCCTTAGACCAATAAGTTGGAAATTATCATGCTTGTAATATTTAGTGTGTGACTGGTTCAGGCTGACAAACTGATATCAATGCTTATCATAAATCAGTTTTAATTCAAATAATATCGAACAATTTTTCTGATATTATATCAACACTGTCTGATTAGTGGGATAATCAAATAGATGTGTTGATATATAATATTCTATGGGTCGATTTGTAACATCGATAATATAGGCTAGTGTGGTCTCGGTAAACCATGAATTGATGGTGCTTCCAATTTATCAGTGAACTTCTGAGTGTGACAATGGTCAAGCTGAGTGTACTGCATTTATAAACAATACCGATTCAAAATTTCGACTAATTCGACGCCCGAACAAATTTCCACAAACCAGTATTATAATGGACCAACCTTGAAGAGATTTAGCGAATCTGCGCCACAAAAAACGCACAAAATGTGAAAAACAGTCGCTCTATCACGGAACTGTGACTTATCCCAGCATGGAACGGCACGTAATTATATTCCGTCAACATTTGCTATTCACGCGTGACAGCTCGCTGGACAATTCGTGAATCGTGTGAACAGCCATGAAAAGCCAAATAAATGACAACAAGCCAACCAATTTCCTTACTTTCTGATAACAGTTTTCCTTGCGCAAAATTCTTCTATCTCGGACGACGAGTCGTGCATTCGAAGCAGTTCATGACCAGTGTCTGATCGTTTTTTCTTCTTGACCAACTTGCCATTGCCGACAAGGGCGTCAAGCTCCTTGCGTTTTTTCATCTTTTTACCCGTCTTAAATTGAACGTCCACACCGTTATTCCCATGTGGATCCAGTGTTAAAATGTTTGTGAACAGATCACGTAATAACTGAGTACAATTCCCTGACCTAGTGGGTTTCCTGTTGCGTACACCACATGAACCTAATTCCAGCTTACACCGCCGTCGTCACACTGATACCGACGTTCGCCACCGAGTGGAAAACATGCGGTGACACGAGCTACGCGATTGGCTCGATCGTTCCCGGAAGTTGTTTACCGAGAACAAGATTCACGAGTGAGAAATACAGCAAACCACAGAATATCAACGGATTGAACAGCATTTGAAACAAATTCACAAGAAATGGCCAGGTTAACTAAACAAAATCCGAAATCATCGTCAAATAATTATTAATAGCAGTATGACTCCGACCAACGAGATCAGCCGTTACATATCACGTGAGCATTAGATGGCGGAATTCGATTCAGAAGAATAGGTGACGTCATTGAAAGTCAGATTAAATTATCCAAGACGCTTTCAAGAATCCAAGTTCCTGGCGATTGAAAAAACAACAAAACTATTTTGTTCTTATCAAAACAAAAACTTGCGCAAGCATTTTAGTGGTCTGAGTGTATTAAAACAACTGCAATCATACAGGCTTTAAGCTAATCGATGCAAACAATAACATTGTATATTAAATTATATGAACTTCCACGTTTCAATTCATCATTTCAACACGCATACATAATTGAACATTAAGCTCAAAACATAAATGCTATTGGGATTTATTTATTTAAAAGGAGGGAGGGATCGAATATATTCACACAAAGTATACATATAAAAAGTCCTCTTCTCCTTCACTGCCTTTTTGACAATTATTCAAATATTAATAGTTAGCAAGATGGCTTGCCACTTTGCAATACACTTCGGTTTTTACCCAATCTCGACTTGACAGCGCCGTTCCATTGACACACGCATAGTTTAGATCATTCCATTATGAGACTAGATAAGGGTGTAAAGTGCAGATTTTTTTCTTGAATTACATACAATGTAGACAAAGAAAAGAAAAATTGCTATTGAATATGTATAAAAGATTTGCAAATTATCATATTGATCATAATGATGGAAATAGTGAATTATACACAATATGTCAAACATAACACAAAGTTGCAAGTCATCTCGCTAACTAATGACTACTAGTAATTGACAAGGCCAAGGAAAGTTGCAATAGCGCCACCATACAACATACTAAAAAAAAATTCCCTATTTCAACACTAGATGGCGTGAGTGACATAAATAACTTTGGAAGCAGACATACATGTGAAGTACTATCATAAGACTTCATTCAAGACGAAACACTGTTTCTTCATGTTTGTTCCTTGCTGCCACAACTACAGTATTGATGGTGTGATATCTGACAGCATTTGTACATCTGTATGTTCTAGAATATGTGAAACTGCACACCATTATAGTATGGTTCTGAAAAAGTTTGCCATTTCAATATATCAGAGGTGTTTCTGAGGAAATGATCTAGAATGCAAATTTGTTTTATTTTATGATCTACTGGTAGGATCTAAATTACGCATTTATGATTCAGAGTCTCTCTCAAAAAAATGTATTAAATATTAATTCGACCAGCATCGACATTGCCAGAGAAACTCTTAACTTGGGTCTTGTTGCATTAGTCACCTCAACACCTTAACTGAACATATTCTACCAGTATGCATGGAATAGCAGGTGAACTGCCCGTGTATGAAGATAAAAACGTTAAATATCTATTATAAGGTAGACCATACATCTTCCCCACAAGACATAAAACTCTGCTTGAATGAAACTGACCATGTTCATTCTAGAGCTGTTCACCAATAAAAAATGAATTATTACAAAAAACACATTTTTAATTTTGAACACATTGCAGTCACCCATTAACACATAAATATTTGTTGTTAGAGGGGGCACTATAGAAAAGGTATACTTGTATTCCCCATGACAGTTTGTTCACACTCTGACTGATTCTGACTGGACTTGGGACAATGAGTGTGAACTACTCATCACTAATATACATGTACCCTAATCTTTGAATGCCTGTCTTCAGTCTTTCATTAACAAAATGACATACACGTTACAGCAACCCATATTTACTCTTATACGAAGTGCATTTCTAATAGAAGCTCACATAAGCCGGGAATTGCATTAATTGTATCTTGGATCATTACAATATGATTCATTTTGAGCACAGACAAACCTGTCATTTCGTAAGTGCATTGTTTCTATCGGTAATAGAATACCAGGTATAGTATGTCAAGCAGCATGTATTGCATTCATACACACAAATTTCCATGTTATCATCAGAACAGAAGAACAGAAGAGAATAAAAGAAGAATTGAAACATACATGTAATGGCTGACCAAGTCAATTGTTGACACCTGCAAATCAACCTGTCTCAATATTCATACTCAACATCATTACCACATTTGGGTTTGTTTATTCTCTCTGGTAAATATATCAGCCAGTTAGATTCTTCATACAACTACATGTTGAGAATAAATTCCAACATTTTAAATCGGTTTTGTGCCAGGTGACTCTAGGTTGATTTTGCTGCGTAAATGTTCGTAAAATCATCAGAACGTCATGAAGCAGGGAAACCTACTGATGGCACTACAACTCAACACTTACCTTTTTTTGACTACCAGGGTACTAGTATTTCTATTTGCGAATTGGTGATGGGTACATGTACATATAGACTATTATTGTCGATCAATGCAGTTTCATGAATGTTTTTAGAAACTGCTGATATTGAGATACACTGTAACCATGATATTTTTTTCTAAACATAAGATAATGAAAAATGTGTCACAAACTACTATTTAAAGAAGAAAAAAAGGATCATGGACCTATTGGTTGTTCGTTATAGGCTAATACATAACAAATAAATCGTGTGCGTCCACTTTAAACTCATACTTTTTTCTTAAATTTCAAAAATATTTTTGTTTTTAAATTCAAAAAATCAGTTTGTGTATTTCATAGTACGGTAGTAGGCAAATGGATTTGAACTTTTCAATCTTTTAGATATTAAATATGATACAATTTTTATTACTACACTGAATCTTCAAGATGGGCTTTAGGTTATACAGAAAATGGCAAATTACTTGAACACATAATTGGTTAGAAAACAAAAATGATACTGTATTAATCAACGTTAAGTCACATACACATATTTCCTGTTTGGGACTAGGAGTCGGCCTTGGAGAACATCTTCCTATTGCAATGACAATTTATGTGCACAACCCCAGCGTCAACCAGGTCTGGTCGAACTGCAGGACTTAAGGTTCACACAAAAAATGGAATTATAAGTGAATTAATCCCGACCAGTGGCTCGGGCCTTGCCATTGAATCTGTAACCCATACTCACCCAGGACGCCGGTTGATCACATGTGTCCGGCGCAATAACCGGTGACCGGACAGTCTTAATACTTACCTATAGGGGGAGTCTGGTGATGCTTAAAGCGGTCAAACTCACTACGAAGGTTATCCATGTCTAATTTCAAACTGTACGTTAGCCACGCTAGTGTGGCAATACAACCAAATACAATGACCCAGGAGAATACTTTCAGCACTGCCCAACAATCACAACATCCATCGTCTTTCATCGCAGCAGCCCTTCTGAAAAATACAACCAAAATACATTATCATGACCATCTGCTATTTTTTTCAGTTTATTTTCACATTAATAGTGTAACAGCATTTGTTACAAAAAATACAGTACTAGAAATGATGTAGTATACAAAGTTAATTATAAATTTGTACATAATAAGATGTAATCCATTCAGAAAATAAAAGGGTGACTAAACATCACCACTGAGGGCACCACACTTGGCTCACATTGTATACTCTTACAACGCATCAAGTCAGTTAGATAAAGACAATAACTTTATTTATTTATTTATTTATGCATATAATTGTTCATTTATCAATTTTTATTCTGGGAATCATGATCGACGTGGATCCAATGTGATGTATACCATACAATACATTGCTTAAACATTAAATTTGGACATGTATCGCGTAATGACATTGGGGTAACGACAGTGGGGCTTCAATAATAACCACTAATTTGTGTTAATCATATATGGCCTACAAGCAGCATACGTATATGCACTTACATATATGGCTGAGGTGTGTCGATATATATAGCCAAAACGAATTAGATTTCAATAATCTGGCGTATAATAAATACATTTTTGGAATTACCGGGGCACAATGTAAGTGTGCTTTTGATATTTAGCAAATAGTGTAATTAAACTACAACATCAGCTTTAACTTTTCTAACCATAAAAAAGTTCAGCGATTGAGCTCTGGTCTTGTATTCTCTACCCTAACCCACATACACAAGCTCACCCACCCATCCATCCACTCACTCACTCACTGCCCAGTCTTTTCTGTTTATTCATAGCATTGTTTTACATCATTTAAATAAAGCACATAAAACCAAACCATACTACACAGCAGTTCTGCACATTATTATCTATGGTATCTATCATCATGACTAGACACTAGCAAACCAGATTAATTAACCCACTGCTCCACGTCTACAATATAGCACTGACAATAATAAATATGCTTCTTCTTTTCAATTTTTAAAAATTTATTGATCATTAATGTTAGCATTACCGGTAAATATATTTTGTCTGACAAATCAAATGCCAGTGAAGTTCTACTACATCAGACCTAGTTGGCCTTAAACATGACTCTTAAAGGATATGCATATAATCCTGTACAGTAGTAGGGTTAATTACATGTACATTATTTTTTACTAGCAAAGGTTTGTTTATTTAGCCACTGCTCCACCACAATACATGTACCTTAGCAGGCTTTCAAAACCATGTTATTTGAACGATGAATTAAATTCAGAATTGGTCTACTAGAAATTAAACTAACTAATTTATTTATTAATTAAACAAACCCTGGGAAATATAAGATTAAAAAATTTCTATATTTCTGGTGGTATTTCAAATACAAGGAAACCAATCTCACTTGAAATAACAACATAATTTTATAGTCTAATGTACAATAATAATAATTTCTAATGTATAATAACAGAAATAATTTCAAATTGATACCATATTAAAAACTTGTTAATGAAAAAACTTCTTGCAGTTGTTAAAAAAAATAAACTTGTTAAATAGCATTCTTCCAAAATACCACAGTGA